AGCAGGAGCAGGGCGGTTCACTCACATGTTTACGCCAGGGCAGAGAAGCAAACAGCAGGAGCAGGGCGGTTCACTCACATGTTTACGCCAGGGCAGAGAAGCAAACAGCAGGAGCAGGGCGGTTCACTCACATGTTTACGCCAGGGCAGAGAAGCAAACAGCAGGAGCAGGGCAGTTCACTCACATGTTTATGCCAGGGCAGAGAAGCAAACAGCAGGAGCAGGGCGGTTCACTCACATGTTTACGCCAGGGCAGAGAAGCAAACAGCAGGAGCAGGGCGGTTCACTCACATGTTTACGCCAGGGCAGAGAAGCAAACAGCAGGAGCAGGGCGGTTCACTCACATGTTTACGCCAGGGCAGAGAAGCAAACAGCAGGATCAGGAAGAAGCCTTTTGGCACGTGCATACCTGGGCTTCATGCCACCAGGTGCCGGACTCTGGTGTTGAGTAGCGCCTCTTGCGAGTGGCCGGGTCGATGTCCACGTGGGGTTTCAGAACAAATCCTTCGGCGTTGTCCGGGTGCCCAAACATGTCAGCCAGAGCCTGTAAAGTACATTCAGTCCGTGAATTGGGATGGGGATGGAAGCACCAGGCAATCCAAAAATAGTGTCGAACAGCTTTATACTTGGATCAGGGCATGGAAGAGACAAGCAAACAACACAAAACAGCATGGATCGGTGCAGCGAATAGACACTCTGGCGTCTCAAAACAGCACAGGTCAGGCTGTGGGTGTTCACCTGAGCCGGATCTCTGAAGAACATGAGCTGGTCATCGAAACCTTCCAGTTTGAAAGTCGCCACACTCCACCCTCGGCCCAGCCCCGTCATCTCCTCGATTTCGAAGCGTTCAAGCTCTCTGCAGTTCGTGAACTTTGACAACACGGCCTCCGCGAGTTCGGGATGCATGAGGAGCTGGAGGATCCGATTGATGTCAACCTCCGCCATCCCTGTCTTTCCGTTTGCCATCCTGATGACATGAATGAACTTGAACACAATCGGATGTGTGCTGGATGGCGTTTTGTTGGTTGACGGGACGGAGATCGGAGGGGGACAAGACTCCCCGGTATTCTCTGGTGGCAGAGGGTCTCCACTTGATCCGCACGCAGCCGTGTCAGAGGAGCTCGTGTCATGGCTGTCGTCGGTCGCGCTCGTGTCATGGTTGTCGTCGGTCCCGCTCGTGTCAAGAGTGTCGTCGGTCGCGCTCGTGTCATGAGGGACGTCCCTGGCGCAAGCGTCGTTAGGCGTCGCATCAAAGGGGCGGTGCGTGGTGTCAGGTGACTGCTGTTCATGATCAAGTGGCGGCGGCTGTGGTGTAGCCGTCATAAACACGTACTGCTCTAAAATATCGGAGCGACCAGCGCGACCGGCGGCATACTTGAGGCGGCACGAATTGGAGGTCCCCTTGTGCTGTCCGAAGGCCTTGGCGTTCTTGAAGTGATTCCCACAGTAAATGCACGTGATCCATTCATTTTGAGACATACAGCTGTGACGTGAACGACCCTAACCGAGTGGCTGTCGATAACTGTCTCGACTCGGGCACAGCTGTTATGAGTCGTCGACAAACTAATGACGGTGAAATATGGGGATCTGCCATCGAGGTGCTACTCGAATCGCGTCTGGGTAGGTGATCGATGCTAAGCTGCTAACTTGGCGAACTACGCGCGGTGCTATCGGTCGTGAGGCTGTTTGAATCTCGAGATCGAAGTGCAAAGAGATCAGAGAAATGTTGGTGTATGTGTTACAACCGATAGATATCCAACACTTACCAAACACGTTAAACATCATATAAGAAATACAAAAGCAGATGACCTCCTAATGCCCTCAAACAAGTATGGCATTCACGGGCATGCACTAGACAGAATAATGACGGTGCAGTACCATCATGTGGTTATTCACGATCTCCAACAATGGGCACCCGTGCCTGTCCAGCGTGCAGGCGTTCGTCGAATGCCAATACAACAGTCGAACGTCGCCAGCATGTGCGCATGTGCATTTGCCAAAAGGCTGTGATGCTTTAGATGATCTGACAGAGGGTTGGTGGTGTACCAACACCTATTAAAGACTCTCTACAGAGCAAGAGCTCCATCAAAGAACTCCACGCTTGTAGTCCGACACATTGTTCCTCAACATGCGCATACTGTATTAGGATGTCGCCAGCTTGTGCGCATGTGCATTTGCCGACAGAGGGTTGATGCTCCAGTGTGAGAACAAGCGAACAGGATCTGCAAGCCAAGGTAGCTACGCAGTTCACCCAGGTCAGTACACGTGTGTCTCTTCTGCAGCTCGGACTTCACGTAGGCGAGTCCAGCAGTGTCAGCTGTGGCAAAGACCAAGTCGTCGACGTACACGAGGATGTAGAACGGCGGCAGAGAGGTGTCGGTGCGCAGAAACAGCGACGGGTCGGCAGTAGAAGGAGCAAACCCAAGTGCCGCGAGCGTAGTCCTCAGTGTGTCGTGCCACTCACGTGGCGCCTGGCGGAGACCGTAGACTGGACGCCGGAGACACCACTGGGTACCAGGAGGGAAAGACCCAGTGAAGCCAGGTGGGCGACGCAGCCAGATCTCCTCGTGCAGGCTGCCCTGCAAGAAAGCTGTGCTGAAGTCGAGAGAGTGCAGCTCGTAGTCACGGTGAGCAGCAACGTGCAGCAGAACCCGAAGAGTGGTCATCTTCGGGGTGGGGGAGAAGGTCTGAAAGTAGTCAACCCCCTGCCGCTGACTGAAGCCACGAGCCACGTAACGCGCCTTGAAGACAGGCGGAGAACCCGGCGGCCGCTTCACCCTGAAAATCCACATGCCACTGACGATGTTCACATCCACATGCCGCTTCGAAGCCAACACAGTACCTGAGAGGGCGGACTCACCAGCACCTGAGAGCACAGCGGACTCACCAGGTGTTCCAACACCTACTAGAGACTCCCTACAGAGCTAGAGCGAGAATCCATTAACTCTGAACTGGCCTTTCCCTTCTTTGTTCCATACCATGTGCTTCTTGCACCAGTACTTTGCAGGCTTTGGCACGTGTCGCCTCGCCGACAGGCTGTGCTGCTCCAAATGATCTGAAACTGGTATGGGGGTGCCATAACACCTATTAGAAGCTACTCACAAAGCAAGAGCTCCATCCAATAACACTACCCGGGTCTTTCATACCATTGTTCCACACCATGCGTAGCTCCCGCAACAGTACTTTGCAGGCTTTGGCACGTGTCGCCTCGCCGACAGGCTGTGCTGCTCCAAATGATCTGAAACTGGTATGGGAGTGCCACAACACCTATTAGAGCCTACCCACAAAGCAAGAGCTCCAACCAATAACACTACACGGGTCTTTCATACCATTGTTCCAGACCTTGCGCAGCTCCCGCAACAGTACTTTGCAGGCTTTGGCACGTGTCGCCTCGCCGACAGGCTGTGCTGCTCCAAATGATCTGAAACTGGTATGGGAGTGCCACAACACCTATTAGAGCCTACCCACAAAGCTAGAGCTCCATCCAATAACACTACACAGGTCTTTCATACCATTGTTCCACACCTTGCGCAGCTCCCGCAACAGTACTTTGCAGGCTTTGGCACGTGTCGCCTCGCCGACACGCTGTGCTGCTCCAAAGGCACTGGTATGAACTGCTAATGAAAGGGTGATATGTCACTAGCCTTCTGAGTCACCACTAACACGTTGATATGTTTCGAGAGCTACATCACAGTGATGACCCAAATACTGAGATGCCAAGTGCATGGAGCTCCAGTGTTGTAGCTTCAAGTCTGACATGTATAATGATCTTTTGCACTCTCAGAAATTCCATGGAAACTTGTAAGATAGGTATGGTGGAGGCAAGAGAGCCATTAAACTGATGTTTTAGAGCACACACAGGGTATTGGTAAGCCATAGAAGCCATCGAAATGGAGTTGCATTTAGAGTCGCATAACACCTCATTGAATAACTATGGGCATTCTTTCAGCTATAATCAGGTTTTGTATACCATGCTTCATCGCATACACCCAGTTAATTTCAAACGGCAAGAATTACATCACTTCACCATTTTTTGTGTCATATCTATGCATCTATGTGAGTGACTTTCTGATCCTTAATCAGTTTAACCACACCTGGTTGTACATGTTGACATACAGTACAAACGCCAGCGCCCCCGTTATGCGACCATGTGCAGTCCAAGCTGTACCTTACCACCCAGACTTTGGCGAGCTTTATGGCAGGGCATCTTCAAAGCAGCTCCACACAACCTCAGACTAGGGTTGATCCTAAACCGTGCACGTTGGCTCGTTCAGACCTCCTCACGTTCGCTTGTACACCCCAGGCCACCCACCAACCACGACCGTCATCCGCTTCAGCGTCCCGCCTCCACTCCCCCCTTCCCGATACTCAGTCCCTGTTCAGGTTCTCTGCCACGCCCACCTCCTCTCCCTTCTCCTCTTCCTCGTGCTCCTAGCGCTCGATGGACGTTCCTTACGACAAGACCTGCTCGACACGTCCTAAGTGTCACACAAACCTACAGCTTAGACTCTACAGCCACGGTAGTTACCCTGCAGCGCGAGCCAACGTAGTCCGTGGTTTTACAGAGCGCGTTTCATCGCGACCCTGTTAAGGTCGGTTTCGCGATAGATGCACATACCTCAGGACGCCGTGATTGACGACGCACAGACTTCGCGACGCCGTGAAATACGACGCACATACTACGCGGCGCCCAGTATACGACGCGCAACTTTCGCGACGCCTTGTTTGCGACCCACATGCTTCGCGACGCCGTGATTTGCGACGCACAGATTTCGCGGCGGCGTGTTTACAAGGCGCCTTGAGCATGTCACGCCTGCGTCGACACCGTGAGCGATCCGTGACTCACTCGTTCCAGCTGCGGGCTGAGAGCATCTACCGTTTCAAAGCCACCCACAGACGTTCGTTTAAAGGTAAGGCATTTCATATTCTTAGCCCCACTACTTTCCACATACCTACCTTTATTGCCATACAAACCTAGACCGCGCCTCTGTTCTTGCAATCATGGCTGTACCATCCAGAGGGGGATCGGAAGTAGGTAGCCATGGATTGGCTAAGGGCGAACCGACCAAGCCGCGCAAGAGGGTTAAGGGAGCCGCTAATAAAAATAAGGGCGCGGCTGACAACCATAATGCGGTTGTGAGCTGCTTTGACACCGAAATTCTCGGCGAGAGTCAAGCCGGGGACCATGCCGGTAACAAGCATGTTCCCACTCATTCCCTGCAGGATGGCACGGCTGAAGGCGTTGAAACACACGAGGAGCGTGTCGAGGACAACCAGGCAGAGGATTTCGCCATGGGGGACGGTGCGGAGGACGAAGGCAACGATGGCGGGGAGGGCGACGAAGAGGAAGAAGGCGACGATGGGGACGAAGGCGACGAAGGCGACGAAGCCGACGAAGGCGACAAAGGGGAGGAAGGCGACGAAGGCGACGAAGGCGACGAAGGCGACGAAGGGGAGGAAGGCGACGAAGGGGAGGAAGGCGAGGAGGAGGACGAGGGGGACGAAGGAGAGGAAGGCGACGAAGGTGACGAAGGCGAGGAGGAGGACGAGGGGGACGAAGGGGAGGAAGGCGACGAAGGTGACGAAGGCGAGGAAGGCGACGAAGGGGAGGAAGGCGAGGAGGAGGACGAGGGGGACGAGGGGAACGAGGGGGACGACGAGAACGAGGGGGACGAGGGGGACGAGGGGGACGAGGGGGACGAGGGGGACGAGGGGGACGAGGGGGACGAGGGGGACGAGTGGAACGAGGGGGACGAGGGGGACGAGGGGGACGAAGATGAAGAAATGGTTAACCAGGCTGTTGAGGAAGCAGCCGGGGAGGAAGATGAAGACTGCACGGAATCGGATGCTAGTGCATACGCTGTGAGAGAGATGCGAAAGCGTGGCGTTCAAGAAGCTAGTCGCGGGACGACCGTGGACGAGGATGCAGAAGAGGCACAGGCGTTGCAAAGGGGGAGGTTCAAACTGTTGTTCGGTTTGGGCCCTGCCCTCCCCGAGCAGGAAGCACAGGAGGACGGAGAGGAGCCCACTCCCAAAATAGGAGAGGTCGTGGTTGCTGCAGGCCGCGCTCGGACTGTCAACAATGGCCGTCCTTTGCAGCCTAAGAAGAAAAGAAAGGTTAACGGGGGCGAGGAGAAAGGTGCGCCAAGGCTACACTTCTTACCCGCCTTTACGCAAGCCCATTGCCCTATATTGCATGAACGTGCCACGGTTATGCACTAAGTTGTTCCCGCATCTCATTCCTCGTCGCATATGTGATTACATGCCAACACACTCCCTATATCTCGTTCCTGTGTTTACATGTCCTTTTGTGGTGCACAGGAGAGGCAAAGCCAGGCTCAGCTGGAAAGGCAAAGCCAGGCTCAGCTGGAAAGGCAAAGCCAGGCTCAGCTGGAAAGGCGCCAACCAAGAAGAAAGGTGAGTCCATCAAACTCTGGCGCATGTGATGCACAGTCAGCTTGCTTTATGGTTTGACTCTCTGGCATCCTGACATTTCCTCGTACCTTGCCTCCTGGATTGATCCCGCCCCCCTCTCCCCCAGCCCCACCCTTCTGTTGCCCTTCCCGTCCTCTCTCCATCACACACTTTAACCCATCTCATTGTTGTTCTACTGAGTCTAGCTGTTCAAGCCAGCGTCGTGGTTTTTAGTTGTCCAGTTGTTTCAGGTTGAAAGCTTGATATGCGACGGATCATTGTAACCTGCCCTTTGCACTCTCGCCCCTCCTCACAGGCCCTCTCTCTCACATCCTATTCACTAAACTTTTGTTCTCGTCTCTCCCTCTCCCTCTCTCACTCCCGTCTCTATCTCTCCCCATGTCACTCCCGTCTCTCCCTCTCCCCATGTCACTCCCGTCTCTCCCTCTCCCCATGTCACTCCCGTCTCTCCCTCTCCCCATGTCACTCCCGTGCCCATTCTGTTATCACGCAAATAGCTGTACTCAACACGGGTATAGGTCCACCATGCTCGGTGGAGCGTTTTCAACTGACCCCGGGGGGGAAGAAGGCGGTGCAGAACGGCAAACCACGCCAGCAAGTGTCGACGCCCTGCTCTAATGGCGGTTTGGTACCAACAAAGCTACATAGTGGGGCAGGGTCGCTCGTGCCAAGTGAGGAGGCAGCGAGCGCAATGGTGGCAGTCCTGGAGGGAGCAAAGACAGCTGCAGCGAAAATCTCCGAGGCAGCAAGGGCGGCGGCCGGTCCTCAAAGGGCTGCATCAGGTGCGTCGATCTTGTCCTATCCTGAGAAAAAGGCAGCGAGCTTGATTTGCCTCTCCTCGCTTGAGTGTTGCCTCTTCTTGCGGTGCTTTGACATATCCTCGTACCATGTTTAGCTCCTTCCTCGAATCCGCCCCCTCTCCCCCAGCCCCACCCCCCACTTCCCTTCCAGTCTGACCCACATTTAGTGCCGCTCATTGTTCTGACCTCACAGCTAGTGTTGTGGTGTTTTATTGTTAGCTTGATTTTGAGGTTGCTACCATGACGTACGATGGATCATTCTATCCTGCCTATCTCACTCTCGCCTCTCTTACTAAGCCCATTCCTCCAAATCTCCAATCTTTGACTCATTTCTCCTACTCCCTACACATGTTCCTCAGGTGTGAGGGGCCAGCCCCAAAACGCAGGAGCAACCGCGGGGGCAGCTCCAAGGGCGGTGGCCGGCGCGAAGGGGCAGGGAGCAGGCGCAGAAAGGCGCGCGGGTGCAGCTCCCGGGTCACCGCCATCTGCACGTGCTAAGGGGCAGGGTGCAAGCGCGGGTGCAGCTCGCAAGGCGTTATCTGGTGCGAGGGGGCAGGGAGCAGGCGCAGGAAGGAGCACGGGTGCAGCTCCCGGGTCACCGCCATCTGCAGGTGCTAAGGGGCAGGGTGCAAGCGCGGGTGCAGCTCGCAAGGCGTTATCTGGTGCGAGGGGGCAGGGAGCAAGCGCAGGGGGGAGCACGGGTGCAGCTCCCGAGTCACCGCCTTCTGAAGGTTCTCTGGGGCAGGGAGCAAGCGCGGGTGCAGCTCGCAGGGCGTTATCTGGCGCAAGGGGACAGGGACCAAGCGCAGGTTCAGCTCCAATGGCGGTCCCTGGTGCGAGGGGGCAGGGAACAAGCGCAGGTGCTGCACCAAGGGCGGTGGCGGGCGCAAGGGGTCCAGGAACTACCGCAGCTGCAGCTGCAAGGGCGCTGGTACCAGTCACTGCGAGGACAAATCAGCAGGCGTTTGTCACGCGTGCGGAGCTGGAAGCAGTTAGGGCCGAAATCCTTCGTGCAATCGCACATGCTCCACTGGTTCCAGGCACCGCACCGGGTGTGCCACCCAACGCAACTACGGGCGTGCAACGTGTGGAAAACCGTGGTCCAGAGCAAATCGCTTTGGATGCGGTTTTCTGTGATGCCGGCGACTGGAAGGTGTGTTTCTCAATCCACACCAACCTAAACACATTCTCCCGTCCACCAATCTGGCCCCCCCGTCCAGCCCACCCCCATTACCCCAGCCCACCCCCTACCCCCCGCTTCCATGTCTCTCCATCCCTCTCTGGCCTGACAACTTTCACATATTTCGTCTCGGCTGTGGAAATACGTTTCTGTAACTTCTCTGATAATATCCCACCCTCTTCCCACCTCGTGCCAACAGGGGAAGTGTCGCACGCTGATCACAGAATTCTACTGGTCAAGGGATGCGGATATGATCGAAATGTACCCCTCAGAGACAGAGGTCATTGAGGGTTTCAGAGGATATTTGTCTCCTGACACAATTCCTCATCTGATAATGCTATGGAAGCACCAGTGCCCCACCACCAAGGGTGCCTTCCTCAAAGCGTGTAGCAACACGCGCTGCTCTATAGGCAAGGTTTTTAGGCGTATTGTATTCGCTGCATTGGGCAGTGACAAGTACACGACCAAGGTGAAGTACCTGCCAAAAGGGCTGCCGCGCCCAAAGGACGTGGTGAAGCATGAGGACTTGCTTCAAGCCAGCATCAGTGGTGAGTTAAAGTGGGGTTTTGTCGGCTCAAAGCATGTGCGGTGGATTGTACACCCTTAAGCACTTCCACCCCTGTACCTCATGCTTTAGGCCCAAATCTGCCCCTCATTTGTACCCCGAAATGCCCATTTCTCTCCCGTACCCACATATTTTCCTTTCTCTCATGTACCCCATGATCTGCCCCTTTCTGTCCCATACCCGAAGCAGCCCCTTTCAAACCCATAGGCAAAGCTGTCACCCTCACACCCATTCCCATGTCTTCCCTTTCACACCCATACAACGAATTGCCCATTTCACACCCATACCCGAATCTGCCCCTGACAGATTGGGGCCCAGGATGGCATGTCAACCCCATCACCCAACATCCTTTTGCCACGAAGCTCTTTGCCGTCGCAATGAGGAGGGCGTTCACAAGGCGTGGTGTGCACCTCGTGGTGTGGAAGTCACGCATGGTGGCTTTCGCGTTGTTCACTGTAAGTAGTATGGCAATATGTTTTTTTCCGCAGCTACCACTCATACCCACACCCATATCTGCCCCTCACAGCAAACCCCAATCTGTCCCCTAAACCCATACCCCAATCTGTCCCTCCTACCCAAACCCCGATCTGCCCCTCACACCCACACCCCAATCTGCCCCTCTCACCCATACCCCAATCTGTCCCTCTCATCCACACCACAATCTGCCCCTCACCCAAACCCCAATGTGCCCCTCACACCCATACCCCAATTTGCCCCTTCCACCCATACACCAATGTTGCAGCTGGAGAACCCTCTTCTGGAAAAGGCTACTGATGGCAAGCTGAGCAACGACCAGAGTGAGAACCGCACCAAGTTTCACGAGACATGTGACAGGGTTCGCCGGTGGGTGGAGCATTCCGTGCTCAAGTTGGCGGTCCCCTATGATCGCGCTGCGCAGGCGTATGTGTTTGGCGGCCATGGTGTTTGCATTGATGCATCTGACTTCCCACAACTCCCCCGTACTTGAGCAAAAAAGGACGCAAGCTGGCGTCGTGTCACGCTTAGAGTTTCTGGTAGCATAGGTATTAGGCTTAATAACCCTTTTTTTTAACTCACAGGCTAATTTTTGGTTCATTATATCTTTGGGGTCTGCAGTGGTGGTGAACAAAGCAAATAAATAATAGTGGCATTTATATTTCTAGAATTATCCAGAATTGCTTTTATAAAATGCAGAAAAAAAACAAACAACCATTATAGTGCGAGTACATATTTATGGTGTACACATTCGTGTAACCCTAAAACGGATCCCCGCCGTACCTTGTAACCGTAACAAATTACGGTCCGAAACCATGCTGAACCTGGTCGGGAACAAAGCCCTGAAATGTGGCTGTGTTACGCCCGCAAATCATGTGAAAACCACTCGAGCGACTGCCTTGGTTTCAGACTGAAAACTACCATGCTTTCCTGCCTGATTTCAGCCGCGCGTACTGTTTTCGGACTGAGAACAAGCCGAAAACCGGACCTGGTTATTGTGATGTCATGCGATGGACCCAGCTGAGTGAACATCTGAAGCGTGGGTCCACGTTGAGTTCGCGACGAAGTGACCGTGCCTTTTCTTGGATCAATTTCAGAGTCAAGGGCACGCCTGCCTCACAGGCATTTCGAACCCAATTGTGAAGTGAAAGTTCGAGTTGGGGGTACTTAGGATGGCGAAGTCGGTAGGCGCGCCCCTGTACAGTTGTCGCAGCGCGCCACTTCCTCTCGCTGCGGAGGATTTTTCCGATTGTGCTCCGGTCAGGCCGGAGCCATATCTGGTGAAGCACCAGAGTGACAAATCCTCGAGACGAAGGTGCGGGTGCTGAGCAAAATGCTCACAGATTTCACGCTTAGTGACGAGAGAAATACGCTGGCGCTTCTGGGTGCGAGCAATGTTGCTTACGAAAAAGAGTGGATTCAGACTCGGAAGACTGGAACGCGAGATTGAATGGTTTGAGAGTTGTGAAACGGCGCAGATATAGCCTCGGTCACACTGACTTTGAAGACTTCAAAACCCGCCACGTTGCTAGGGAGGGGTACGATTCAATCGACGTGGCACTTGAAGCAGACTACGAAACAGCTGACGTGGGCCTGGAAATCGCACAGGTTTCGCCTCTCTGATTTCTCCATAACATTCAATTTTCGCACACATGATACACGTCGCCCATGTGATCTGACCAGCGATTTTGATTGGTTGTTTCCCAGGTCCGCTCTACAGTGATTCGGATCAGGCCCAGGCCTGTCGATGTTCCTGGGGCCCATACTTGGAGCCCCCAGCTCCTCCCTATCTGACCCTGTATTGGCCGTAGCTGAGTGTTTTGGCGCCCTTAACGGTCACGGGCGCAGGCCGAAGTGGAAACTTGATATCCGGGCTTGCAACTACACTTTCTTAGCTAAGGGAAAGTTCGGCTGCTCCAAAGCTGACTTAGAGAGATCACAAACACGGGATTGGCTAGAAAACGCTAAGGGAAAAATCCCCTTGGCGCGCTCTCGTGCAACCAAGGAGAAAGGGGGGGGGGGGGGGGGTGGAGTGGGGGGGTCAGGCAGAATTTCCTAGGGGGGGGGTCCCTAGAACCGGAAATCAAAACTTTGTGGGTGGGGAGGCCTGTTTGGAGCACTTAACGCATCCGGGATAGGGTCGAACGAAGCACTTAATGGCACGGGTACAAGGCGGTCCTAACACTTAATGCAGTCGAGCTGGAGCGAAAGTAGCCCGGAATTTCAGGGCATTAAGGGCATATGCCCGTAAATCGGCAGGCCTGATCAGGCCCCTTTCTGTACACTGTTGGCCGCCCACAAGGGGACTGTACAAGAGGGGATACACCTAAGAATGATAGGAAAATTCTACTTCTGGCGGAAAATGGACTCTGTTAGCGAGGGCCTCTAAACCGGAACCTCTGTATCGGAGATAATGGCCGTAAGAAATTCTGTGTCCTTCCTCCCTAGTCAAACGCGACAATGGCCCTCGCCTTGTCCTGAGTTCTTTCTGACCCTCCTTCGCATCAGCCACCAATCAAATAGTTGCACCGCAAACACGGTACTGCAGTGATTGGTCAGTCGCGTACGCGGACCTGCTCATGTTCATTTCCATTTCTCTTCGGTTTTGGTTGGTTTGGGAAGACCTCAGACGGCGCTGCTTGCGGGCCTCCTCCACATCATGTTCACGTTTCCCCCACGGTAACATTCGATTCTTCCTGCCGAACCCAGACTGAGTGAATTCAGCCTAATGAAGACTACCCTATAGGCTGCCCAAAACGAGCTCATGCAGCATGAGTCTACTAAGCTACCTCAGACTTTCTCGATTGGTGTGAAAAAAATCGATGATTCTGAGTTTTTTCGACTTTAGGGCTGTCATGCGGCACCAGAACAGACGGGTGATTCTTGGACTTCAACTGTGGTAGTCCAGCCCGAATGGTAAGGAATATTTAAATATTCGGTTTCTTTGAGAAGCAAAGCTGCTAGTACGTCAAGAATCTATAATCCTGAGGGACATTACCAAGCCTCTTCCCACCACAACCACCCCGCACCAACCAGTCACGCAAGTACTTCTTTCTCTTGGTGGTGCGCGGTGAGTTCCAGTTTCAAGCTTCACCATAAGTGCTGCCACATTAGTTCGCTGGTGGATAGTACACATTTGGATTTCCTTCGTCCATAGTATCTATTCGTATATTCCCGACACGAACAGAACCAGTTTTAGAGAGGAGCCTGCTCCATCAGTCACCACACGACACTTTAACAAAGATGGAGGCAGCACCGCAAGCCCTAGTCAGACTCAAACAGGAATGGCAGCAGGAACAGCGCGCTGTCAACGGCGGGGCGTTGGAGCAAGCTGGTGACACGACGCGGGATTCCGGCCGCCATGAATTTAACAAATTCGAGGATCAACCATGGACGTCTCCCTCTGGCCCTTTCGACTCGACCGTCCCATCCGAGACGAAACCGAACATTGACTTTGAGTTAATGGATAACCATCAAGGTGGCGACATAAGCGACCTAGATAGTCGCGGTGACATGGTGTTCGGCAGTGAAGCTTCAACGACGGCAGCGACGACACCAGCGGTTGGTGGCGAACCCGTCGACCACGATTCCGTTGAGCAGAATCCCGTTGACCATGCAGTAGACCGTCCCGTTGACCATGCTTCTTCAGCTAATATTTGTCCCTCCACGATCGACCGCGTCCCGCCGCCAATGTATTTTCGCCGACAAGAAATGAATATCCAGCGACGGGTAACAGGGTTACTCGATTTGGACGCGGACGTCCTCCTGTCTATCGCGCGTATGACGGGTCGCCCTCTCCGAGCCATCGCCGTCCTCGCCATGTGCTGCACGCGGCTCCGTCAACTCGCCGCGACTGACCTCTGGCCGCACTACTGTCACACCCGCGGGAGAGATCTCGTCCTAGAAATAAACAAGCGACAGGAGATGGAAAATCTAGTTTTGAACGGCCGCGACGGTGACGCACAGTCGTCTCGCCGGACGAGTCTTTCCAAGCGAAAACTCGTCGGGTTACCAACCGCCGCTCTTTCGCCAAAGCTTCTCAGCTACTCGCCCGGTATCGTCGAGGTGCCGTTCAGCCTACAGAACCCGCGAATCTCGGAGCTTATGGAGAAAGTCAGCCAATGGTGGTCCGACGGATACTTTGACGGAGACGACGCGAGCCGCTGTTCCGAAATTACCTCGGATGGTCCCCGCCGTGGGGGCGCGTGGCGCAGGTGTCGGCGCGCCGCGTCGCGCGTTGCGTGGGTGCCTGTGATCGCCGTGCTCGTGCCGATCGTCGTGGGGTATTTCGCATGCGTCTTCGTGAAGCGGACGGCGCGGACCGCGCGACGTGTGGCTGTAAGGGGAGGGAGGAGGCTGGCGAGGAGGGTTGGGGAGACAACGATGGGGAGGGTGGGAGGGAGGGTTGTGTCGAGAATTGGAGAGAGATTGGGGTGGAGGAGGGGGGGTGAGATGGGGGACGGAGGAGGAGGGATTGACATTGAGGCGATTCTGAGGGGGGCGGGATACGCGGATTGGGATGGGGATGAGTTTGTGGAGCAGTATGGGCGCATGTGGGATGATGCTACTGATGATGGCGTGGTGGGTGATGGTGACGGTGACGGTGACGGTGATGGTGATGGTGATGGTGATGGTGATGGTAATGGTGATGGTGATGGTGATGGTGATGGTGATGGTGGTGGTGATGGTGATGGTGATGGTGATGGTGATGTTGGTGGTGATGGTGATGTGGATGATGTTGGTGGTGATGGCGATGGTGATTCTAATCATGCGGTTGTTGGTGTTCCTGACGAGGAAGCTGATGATGCCGGCGCTCAGGATGCTGACGCTGCTGATGGTGCTGATGGTGCTGATGGTGCGGCTGATGCTGCTGATGCTGGTCTTGAAGGTGATGGTGATGCTGCAGAGCGAGACACACATGTATGGAGGGACATGGGCGGAGATTTAGCAGCAGCGGAGGAGGGAACAACAGCGGAAGAGAGAGAAGCACGTATGGTAGCCATAGCGTCGCGCGTGGGGGGCAAGAAGTTCGCGTGGGGGCTTGTGGGCCACGTGGACGAGACGTGCCTTCTTTCGCCCTACCTCCTCGCATATCTCTTCCCCCCCGCGCTGCTCTCCGTCTCTCTCGAGGAGGAGGGAGAGGGGAAGGGGGAAGGGGAGGAGGGAGAGGGGGAGGCAGGGGCGTCGTTTGCTGTGATGGAGCCATCGTTGAACATGTGGGACATCTCCGTCTGCCGAGGCTTCATCGATTCGTTCCCACTCACCATGTAAGGAGTGCTGGAAATCTCTCAAACCTTCGACTCCCAAAAGTAGCACATACACAGATGGATGCGTTATTTGGCCTCGTTGCCTTTCCCCGTGGCTATTTCAAGCCGACATTCTCCTCCATTCTTGGTCACAATATTTGGGTGGACACACCATCTTCTCTTCCCTCTTCCCCCCCACCTCCTTCTGCGTCTCTTCGAGTTCTTATTGCACCAACTGTGTGTCACT